AATTTTGCGTATGGCTTCTGCCTCCCAACCCCCACATGCTGTCTGCAGGTTTGACCATTTACACTGAAACACCAGTACCGACATCTGTTTTCTGACTTTGAGTTATGTCCTGATCTCTCCCCAGCCTGCCCGCAGGGTTTCTATGGAGCCAGCTGCCACCAACGATGTCTCTGTCAGAACGGTGGGACCTGTGACCAGGTCTCTGGGCGCTGTACATGCCCTGAAGGATGGACCGGACTGGCATGTGAGCTGGGTGAGTGAGTCCCGGCGTGGAGGAGCCTGAAGTGACTCTGGAGCTGCGGAGAATTGTTGCAAGCTTGTCCCATTCCCAGGAGCATTTCCTTCGTTTCACTTTAGTCAAGTTCATGCCCTGAAACCGCAAACTTAAGTGGTCATTTGGCAGCAGGAAATGGCAAGCAGTTTTGTGGGCTTGCAGGGAATGTGGTCTGAGCTGTGCCTGCCTTAAAATGTCACAAGGATGGGAGTGAATTCCACATTTCCAGTGAAAAAGCAAAAATACACAGTTCTGGCACCTTTTGAACTAAGTAGCCAATGGTTGTGATGCTGGAGTGTGCAGGAACTGCCACGACAAACCCAAATGAGCCCTTAAGGGTTTGTGGTTTCTGTGGCCTAGACCATACTGAAACTGCACCCGAGAGCAGAACAGCCGGTGGAGCTAGAGCTGCTGGGCCCAGTGGCTTGAAGTCGTACAACCACCTGGTAATGAGAGCAGACTCCATAGTGGATAAAGCCACACTTTCCCTTTCCTTTCTTTTCCTTTCCTTCTCTGAAGAGAAGTTGCTTGTTGGCATATGTGAGTTATGTCCCTGCCACGCTCTGTTTCTAATGCCATCTCTGTCATTTCTCTGCCTTCTCCCAGAATGTGCCCAAGGGCAGCACGGGATGGATTGCCAGCAGAGCTGTGAGTGCCACAATGGGGGGCTGTGTGACCGTCAGACAGGCCACTGCTTCTGCCAGGCTGGCTGGACCGGTGCCAAGTGTGAGAGCCGTAAGTGCAAGACCCTCAGTGATAGCTTTTGCTTCTGGGCCTGGTCCCTTACACCGGAGTGAGCTGTTCATGCGACGCAGAGCCTTTCCAAGAGTCAGGAAAGACTGGGTAACTTTTAAGAAAACACAAAGCTGCTTTTGCTATACAGTCAGCACAAGGCCTTCCTGCCTAATGTAACACATACTTTCCATCATGCGCTTATTCTAGGTGCCAGGAAATTTTTGAGTAAACAAAGGCTCCAGCTTTGGCTTGCAGAGCTCTAGGGGAAACTTGTAGGTGCCATAGGTTTATCTGCATAGACTTGTTTTGCTTATTGCTGTGCTTTTCGCTACCCTGTGAACCTGACAAAACAGAAGTGCTGGGGATGTTCTCAGCACTGTGCAGCTCAGCTCCTCCCTCATGCTTACAGCATGAATGTGTAACCTGTTCCCACTCAAGTCACTGGCAAAATGGCAGGAGAGTAACAGGCCTGTGGGCTTTCTGGGGCCATAGGCCATGCCCCAGCTGCTGTATGAGCTGTGGGCAGCCTAGAAAAAGGGGCAGAGCAGACAAGCTGCAGGAAGACTTCCCCTTAACCCCAGAATGGAATAGCTGTTGGCACTCCAGCTTTACTTACTCTCCCCCACCCACCAACTTCTGTGTCTGTCTGCTTCTGGCACCAGTGCATAGGCCCTAAATGCTTGGCAACAATTCAAAGCCCCAGCCAGTAATTAGGTCTGGTGTTTTGCAGGCTCTTGTACTCACCTTATCTTCAGCTGTAATAAATACCCTGGCAATCCCTTTGCGATGAGGTCATGTTGAAAGGGCTGCTGGTTTTAGAAAGGGGAGCCTCAGGGGTTGGATCATGTACCAGAAAATCCACCCCCAGTTCCTTCCCTGTTCAAGGGGTCTTGGCAGCTCTCCATCCCCCCCCAGCAGCATTCTGAGGATAACCCCTGGCACTTCCAAGGTGGGAGGGAAATGTTTGGGTCTGAGCTCTTGCTGGCAGTATGGGTAGGTTGGAACATTTCTCCATGTGGGACTAACGTCAGGTAGCTCTTAAGAGCTCTTGGGCCTTTGCCAAGCTGGGAAACCTTGTCTGTCTCCTTTTGTGGGTGTGCCGCTCCTTTCATCAACGTCGTGCTCTGCAGTGGTAGGCATCCTGAGCTATCTTTAATCCAGCAAGCACTGGTAATTGTGGCAGCAAAGATGGGTTGGCGGGGCCATCAGTGCAAGCTGTACAAGGCAGTAGGACTAAGTGCACACAGTAGGTGTGTACTTAGCTTGTTGGTCCATGCTGAAGTCTGTGGCCACCTTGTCTCAGCTGGTGCAGTTACCCAGGTAAGCTAAATTAAAGCCAACACAGGCACGGCTGTCCATGCTGCAGTCACACTTTCATCTGCGGTATGCCTGAGACATGTATACGAGGCATTTCTCCCTCTAGGAAATGGAGACCTGTTCCCTCTCAGTGTCCCTTTGCACAGAAGCCCTTTCCAGGTCTCTGCTTTTTGTCTCTGAACCCTTTTGGTGCCACTTTACTTTTGTCAAAGCAGAACTGAACACAGCTTTCCCATTCCAGGCACCTCTTTGCTCTAAGCAGGGCAGTTTGGAGGCAATTTCTAACTCTAGCAAAAACAGGATGCATCCTCATGAGGTAGCCAAACTGAATGCTAAAGGAAACATAGAGTTTTGGATCCCAGTTGGACCCAAGCCTTCAGGAGCTCTTCAGCCATCTCCTAATGGAGTACTGAATGCTCTGCTGAATGGAATTGTGCTCATCTCCTTAGCTGAAGGATTGAGCCAATGTATGTCAGGGCCAAGCCTGAGTTTGAATGTTGCCTGTTAAATTTATTTCAGGTTTTTTCCAGGCCTGGATGTGGTATTCTGATGAAAATCACAACTGGCAGTGCCAGGGTATTGTTCTACTTATCCTTCCTGTTAGTGCACAAGAAAACTATCTGCAGAAGCAAGGTCTCAGCACAAGATTCAAAAGGCTTGCACTGTTCTGTAGCCAACCTGCTTGTTACTTCTTGTGCTTGCATTGGCTCTTAGCCATCTGGTTCTTCTGTATGACAAGAAAAGCAGATAATGAGATCTTTGCCATATAAAGGTTTGAGTGGGCTTGGCATGCCCTCAATGCAACCTTAAATACTGTAACATGAACCGCGCAGCTCATTTTACGAGCCACCATTTTGGGGAGCTGGCAGGCACCCTGATTGTGGCTGAGCCTCCAAGTGCACTTCACCCCCAGCCTGGGCCCTGGCACAGCGCTCTCAATCAAGAATGGTGTTCACAGAACCTTTCACAGGTCAAGTCACTCCTTTTCATAAGGTAGGTCTGAGCAATGGGTCACTCAGACTGGAGCAGTAATTTGCAGTGAAACTATTCAAGACTTTCTCTGCTTCTCTGAAGGCAGAGTTTCCTACATGCCAGTGAAGTTCAGCCTACACAGTCACTCCAATTTAAAACCCCAGCAGTTTCCATCTGCTGCTACCCTATTCCATTCTTGACGAAGTTCAGAATCCCTCACTTGGCTTCTTTTTAGGGCCATGTTTTTAGAAAACACAGATGTTGAAAGATACGTGCAAAATGTGTTTAATGATGTGCCTGGTTTATGCCTCCTTACAGCCACTGCATGGGCAAAATGAACCTATTGTCATTTGCATGTGTACAGTCTGAACTCAGCCAGAGTAACTGGTTGCATGTCGAGTGTACAGTTACACATTTGGGCAATGAATCTCTTTAAAATTCAAGCAACGTGCATGGCGTCTGCTGTAAGAACCAACTTCTTCCTTCTTCCCTGACAGCAACAGGAACAGGAAAGCTGGACATTGTAGCCCTTGTTGCTAAAGAGCCCTCATTGTAATGAGGCTAGCCTGGCATCCAGCTTTTGGTAACTAGTGCAAAGGAATAACACTTCCAAAAACATTTGGCAGTGCTAGAGAGGGTGACTTTTACACCAAATGAGCCACGGAGGGATGTTTATGCAGAGACCGTTTGCTTTGCTTACAGTTTCCTATTTCCCCGTCTTCCTGCCTGGATAAGCTTTTTCCTCCCTTGTTGGTGTTGCTATATCTTGTGGGGAGCATTGTGATGCTACAGGGAATCTCAGGAGATGATCCATGGTTTGCTTCTCCTGACAAACGCATTGGTTGGTTACATAGACGCCCCATGATTTCATGAGGAAGTTGCATCTTCTGAGACCCACTCTCAGTCTGTTCCGGCTCTGCCATGTATGCCATTTGTACTTGGAGTCGGATGCCAACTCCTCACTCAGAGTAATTCCTCACTAGCTCTATTCAACAGCTTTATTGCCTAGTTTCTCTTATTGTTTTTGCCAGAGGGTAGTTCTGGCTGATTCTGGTGATGTGGTCAATGGTGCGGTGGAGGACAAAAAACTATTTCTCGATGAGAGATGATGGTGCACTGGTTGATGTCCGTATAATGGGTGGTGGTTGTCTGACTCTTGTACCTGCCAGTCAGTGTTGCCTGCTACTTTCCTCCTCATGTGAGGGGCACTATGCCAGATAGTGCCTATAGGCAGGGAACAGGGGTGGGTTTTAAGCACCCTGTTATAATTTTACATGTATCACTGAGGGTGGTGTCAATATGTTTGCTGTGACTTGAGCGTCCCCAGGTGGTGTAGGCCTATTCAGCCACAGAGAAACAAAGAGCTAAGGCAGTGGTGCATAGGGTGGATGGATGTGCTCCCCACTTGGAATTTGCCAGCTTACGCAGAAAGTTGTTTCATGTGTTGACCTTAGCTTTGATATTTAATATATGCTTTTTTATAACAAGGTGTAGGTCCAGTGTTACCCCGAAGTAGACGAGGTTTTTTGATGTTTGAGACTCTGGTCACCCCAGGTGACATTTAGATGTCATTCCTCATCCTGGTTTCTCAAATGGAAAGCTCAGATTTGGGTTTTGCCAGGGTTGAGTTTGAGATAAATTATTTAGGTAATAATCTGACATCTTGTTCAGTGCCCTCTCCAGGATCTTCTCCGTGTCCTCAAAATTCTTCTTCTCTGTGGTAATGTGGAGATCATCAGCATGGATGAAATTCTGACATTCAGCAGAAAGAAGCTGATCATTGATGTAGATGTTGAGTAAAAGTGTGACGAGTGTGGTAAGCCATTCTTTTGGGACTGCCATCTACTTTTCTGGCCATTTAGGTCCACATAAAAGCACCTGTTCTCCAAGATGGTCTGGCTTAGATCTAAGTAGTTAGTCATAAGGTATAGTTTGTGGATCATGTGGTATAGTGTTGGACAGTATTGTATGCAGCAGATAGGTCAACAAATTTCTGGTGGAAGGTGATCAACTTCTGGTGGAGAGCATCTTTGATATGCTGTGTGAGGGTTAGTACTTGGTCTGCCTAGGATTGACCTGGTCTAAAACCTGCTTCGTCCCATATAAGTTTGGAATCTACCAAGCATAAAATTCGTTTCAGAATAAGATGTTCAGAATAAGTTTGTAGGTGATGCTGAGGAGGGAACTCAGTCTATAACTTTTTGGTGATGAAGGGTCTTTCCCTGGTTTGGGAAGAGCTATGACTCTTGCCTTCCTCCATACTGATGGCATTTGTTTAGTCATCATGCATACGTTGAACAGATCAAGGAGCCATTGCCTTGCGAAGGGTCCTAGGTGTTGTACCATCTCAGCGAGTACATTGTCTACTCCTGCTGCCTTCCCATGTTTCAGTAGACCTATGCTGACTGTCAGTTCCTCCATAGTAAATGGACAGTTTAGGTCTTTAGGTGGTTGCTTGTCAGATGGTATAATGCAGTGATGGTGTTTCTTCTTTGTGAATGCTTCCCATTGTTGAACAGTTGTTGTGAAACCTGGTTGCACAGATTTAACTGCCAGATGACTGTACAGTGGCCTGTATGAAACGCATTTGGTCCCAATGGATATGTTCCCATTGGGACAGGTGAACAGCCAGCTGGACCGTTCAGTCTGGCTCTCTAGCTGTGGGGCTCAGCCAAGAGGCCAAGCCTGGACAAGTTGCAGAAATCAAACACTCATTCCTGAGGGACAGGCATCCTCTCACGCATGTGCTGGGCAGTGCTAGGAAGCCTGGCAAGGGCTGCGTGTGATGTTACAAGTGCCAGCCCTCCCGTTGTGGGATGAATGAAGAGCCCCAGTCTCCAGAGCGGCCAGTCTGGTGCCTTTCGCCACCACAATCAGGAAGAAATAAGTGCTTGGGTTTGCTGCATTTGATCCTGTTCCCAGCATGAGAGACACTCTTCTCAGCCAGCTCTGCAGGCTGACAAGTCCCTTCTGAGCTGCCACAACTTCCAGTGAAACATAAAACCCTCCCCCTGAGTGCAGCAAATGAAAGAGACATTAAATAAACAGGCAGTGGAGGTCATGTGGTGAGAACAAGGTTTGAATTGGCTCGGGCTGCGTCTCAGCCAGACACGCGCTCGTCCTGCCACACCGCCCTGCCCACTGACCCGTCTCCCTCCCTCCCTGAATCTCTGCAGCTTGCCCCAGAGCCACGTTTGGCCAACACTGTGAGGAGGAGTGTGACTGTGGGGATGGAGCCTCCTGCCATCCCGTGACCGGTGTTTGTGACTGTCCCAGGGGCTGGCGGGGCCAGCACTGCGAGAGAGGTGAGAGACGTTCCCTTCATTGCTAAACGTTGCCTGCTTCTGTTCTGCTTCTTGCTCAGCTGAAACACAAGAGCAGGAAAAGAATTGGGAAAATGCCTGATTTCTCTAGATTTCAAGAACAAGGGGCAGATTCTGCTCCACCTCATCGGTGCCTAAGTGTGATGCTGTTGCAGCCAGGTTCAGGATCTGGCAGATGATGACTGCCAAAGGCAGGTGGGTCTGCCTCTTCCTCACTGCCTGATGGCACTCAGTGTCAAGGCAGAGCTGATGACCTGTTACTGTCAGATGACCAGTTTTGGACTCAAGTAAGGTGGAACAGGATTGCACTGAAATGCCTAAGAGGTGGAATAGGATCTGGCCCTGAGTGGTGCTAATTGGCTTTGGGGATTAGCGAGGGGTTCTCCAGGGTGGGTTTTACTGCTGAGTTGCTGTGACAAATGCAGCCCACTCTGTGATTGCTGAAGGAGTCTGAGCTCAGCACGTTCCCCAGACACCACTCCCCTCTCCCTTACTCTCCTCTGCCCACTGGGTGCTCATGGGATCTGGCAGGCACCCCAGCAGAAAGGCCACACACCCCTCTGGTACATCATCCCTCCTGGTCCAAGCAGCTGGCACTGCCATTGCCCCTGCTGTCCAGGTCCCTGCCTGCCTCTGGTGTCTGTGTAAGAAAAGGAAGGTGGATGGGAGATGGCTCAGAGAAGCTCTCAGATTTGGTTGCTAATGGAGGCATCCCCTTCCTAATATCTCCTTGTACAGGAGCTGTCCAACTGGGACACAGTGTGTCTCACAACATCCCACTAGAGCTGTAATGTTTTAGCCCAGGACCTTAGCATCCCTGCTGCTGCTTGTAGGTGCTATCAAGACCGTGTATGACTCCTGCTGTGACTTCTCCCTGTCTTGCTCCCAACAGCCTGCCTGCCTGGGTCATTCGGGAAGGACTGTGCTGGCCACTGTAACTGTCCCCCAGGAACTCCCTGCAATCACATCACTGGCCAGTGTGGCTGCCCACCAGGATTCACAGGCCATGGATGCGAACGATGTACGGAGAAGAGAACAATCCCACTGCAGCTCCTGGCAGGGATTGGGAGCTGGGCGGGTCAATCAGTGGCTGCTGAGAAGCCAGCACTATGCTTTGCCAAAGAGCAGTATGGCCTTTTGTAGGCAGTGCATGTCTGCATGATTGTGCTATGGCAAAGGGTGCCAATAAGAAGTTCAAGGTGCCTACTCCCTCCATGGTCTTTGCAGGGGAACAGAAAAAGATGCAGCTCCTGTATGTATGAGCAAGTCAGAGAGCTGGAGGCATGGAAGCACATTTTCCCGCATGTGCTTGTGATTGCAAAGGCCATCTCTGTGTCCCCATCACTGTATCCCTAGCAGCTGTGCCCATGCTCCTCCCAACAGCAATGTTGTGTCCCGTCCTGTCCTGTCCCCCCTCCCCAGAATACACTTTCCTCCGGTGGAAGAGGGAAGAGTGTGCTCCTTCATAATAATGTTCTGTTGTCTCGCTGTTCTCCTACAGCCTGTCTGCCTGGGACCTTTGGGGTGAGCTGTGCTCAGGTCTGCCACTGCCCTGGTGTGAACCAGGACTGTGACCCCATCACTGGGGAGTGTGTCTGCGCTCCAGGTTATCACGGCCCCCAGTGCCAGCTCCGTGAGTTTGCTCTATATTTTGTTGGGTGCATTTTAAAAGTGTGAGATAATCTCTGCAAGGGGGCAGGGTGCCAGGGCTGCTGCTGTTCTTGCTGTGATAAGGGTTCCTGGGGCAGAAGTTGGTGTCCCTCTGGTGCCAGAAAAAAGTTCCCCATGCAGCATTCACATTGAATTAGTCAGAAGAGAGGAAACCCTACCCTGCTCTGAAGCCACAGGTATTAGTCAAAGCCTGGGGGCAACTGAGCCCAGAATTTTTTTAAACATATCCCAGATCTTCTCATGGGAGGGTGATTCTGTTTGAGTACATGTGTCCTGATGCCTTTGACCCTCTACAGTGAAACCCAGCACTGCCCCTCAGGCTCACACCTACATAGAGTCACATGCATACCCTCACCTGTGCATTCTCTCTGTCTTGCTCAGTGGGGGCTGTCAGTATGTTTAATCAAAAACCATTTTCAGGGACACAAATGCCAGGCTCAAACATTTCCCGGCTGAATTATGGGGATATCAGCATCTTCAGCAGAAGCATTTTTCCCCATTGTTTTCCCCTTAAGAGCAGAGCCCCTTGGATCGGTCTTTGTCTGCCGTGGAACAAAGTAGATGGGCCATCACAATCTCCTTTTGCCTGCCTAGCTGGAGGCAGGACAGTGAGACATGCACACTGCTGAACCATTGAGAAATGTCCCTTCCCATTTTATGAGCATTGTATTTTGCTCAAAACTTTACACGCAGCAATTTTTAAAAATGTATTTGTGCTGCAGAAGTAACGTTTCTGTGGGAGCCCTTTTGGGACCACGGGGACCTAACTGCTTGCTTGTCATATTTCTGTAGATTTAGCTAACCAGGGATAAAATGTGGAATGGGGCTGTTTTTAGGCAGCCAGCACCTAAGAACTGTCAGCGCTGTCTCATGCTTTATGCTTTGCTTTCTTTGCTAAATCTACAAGTGTAGGGAGGAGGAGGCAGCTTCAGCTGCTGTGCAAAATGATTTGTCTTTCACAACACCTACTGGTGTCCGGTGAGAGCATTTCACTCCTTTATGCACACTCTCTGGAAGGGACAGACCTGGCTCCCTGAAATCCCAGCTGGCTGTTGTGCCCGAGCTTGGATCCGCAGAATGTATCTATTTGTCTCACCGTGGGATTTCTGTACAGGGAACTGTCACTGTCTCGCCTCACATAACCAGGAACTGCCTTCTCATGGTCTTGTCTCTCTGCATAGGGAAGGAAGTGTGTCGGCTGACACATTTTCCTGATTTATATTTCTTTCTACCAGCATATCAGCTGGGCTCAGCAGCTGGTAGAATAACTCTTGCACTGGCATGTGAATTGGCAGACCACATGCTCTGCCAGCTGCCTGCAAACGGACCCAAGATTTCTTTACTGGCCTAATGCTTAATAACAAAGGTTGAGAGGCCTGGGCTCAGTGTGTATCACTGCTTGTGGCACCTGCTCCCCATGTCAGGGCTTTATTGCTTCCATCCAAGCCTTGGTTTCTTTTTTCCCTTTCCTAGGGTGTTCGCCAGGATGGTACGGCTCCAACTGTGAGAGGCAGTGCCAGTGTAAGAATGGGGGCCACTGCGCAACCACCACTGGGGCTTGTCATTGTCTGGCGGGGTACATGGGAGCTGACTGCAGCATCAGTGAGTACGCAAGCAAACCTCAGACCCAGCCCTGAATCCTGGCATGAGCTGCTTGTGCAGCTGCCTTAAGAGCCAAGCTCATGTAGCCTGTGTGTACATCAGCCCTTCACAAAACAGCAGAACTTAGGCTGCAGGGCACCAGCCAAAAACCCCACAGGCAGAGCATCTCTCTTAAGCAGCAAATGGAGAGTACTGCACCAAGTATTGGCTACTGCCCAGGTGAAAGTTTTAGCATGAGCAGTGAGCAGTTGAAACTCTGGACAGAGGAATCAGTAGCGAGTCCATGCCTAGTGCCAAAATACATGGGCCAGTCCTCCTTCACCCGAATCTAACAATGTCAAGTGGTTTTGAGCTATTCTAGAATCAGGGTGAAATGAGAATCTGTAGGTTTTAGGCTTTTTCTTATCCTTTCAGTGGTTAAAAGGAGCAGCAGGACATCCTATGGTCAGCATGCAATAAAGCACTATAATAAACCCATCTCCCCAGCACTGCCAGGTTCACAGCGCCAAACACATCTGACAGGAGAGTCATGGGACTTTCTCCCCATGGGCTGCAGCATGAGTTTTTCTGTTGACACGCACAGGGGCAAAGACTGCCTTGCCCATTGCATCTTTGTGGAAGGGAATTTCCTTAGACTTCATTGTGGGTGGGGTTTTTCTCTGAACACAGTCATGGCCCTCTTGATGCTCCTTCTGTGAAGGGGAAGAAAAGCATTGCAAAAAGCTCCAGCTGTCCCCCAAATATTGGCTACCAAAGGGAGGACGAACAGGAACTGGGGGTGAGTTGGAGGAATACAGTGAGAGTTTAAAGATGTTTTGATGCTTCATCTGGAAAGCCAGGCAGAAATGCTTCCCCTGTGTTTAGTGCTGCACCACCCTTGGCTGCAGGCATATTTTTGTTCTTTCCCTTGTTTCACAGCGTTGGTGATATGGAGCCTGCTCCTTCTGAGCATTTATGTGCAACTGATTTAACCTGCTGCCTTTATTAAAAACAGAACCTTCCTGTCATCTTGTTTGTCCTGTACCATCATTGCTGCTGATGGTGGAAGCGTTAGTGGATGATTTGGCATGTATCTGGCAAGTGACCCGTGGTTCTACCTATTGCTTGCCTGTTCTGCCACAGCTCAAATGCCTTCCTTCTTCAGTACATGCTGGCTAGATTACTCTTGTTTCTGTTTTTCCACAGTCACCAAAGAGCCTAAGAACTCTTATTCCTTGTCCTACTGCTCTACCCCCAGTCACCATCCCCGCAGGCTTAACCCTAGTCCTCCCTTTCCAGACTGTAGTCTACTTCTAGGCATGCTCTTGCATTAGAGTCACCACCTTCTAAGGCCAGTAGCTGCTCCTCTTCCCGTAGGCTGCCCTGCTGGTCGCTATGGCAAGAACTGTGCGCAGCTCTGTGCCTGTGGACAAGGAGCGACCTGCCATCCTGTGACAGGCACCTGCATTTGTCCAGCGGGAAGAACCGGTCCCAGATGTGAGCAAGGTAATCGCGAGCATCTGTGCTGTTAAATAACATGTATGAGGCACAAGCTGGCTTCTCTGAAGCTCTCCCCATTCATGCAGGATGGGCTGGATCACAGCATGGGTGGATCTAAGGTCTTGAAAAGGTGGGGTGCAGTTGGTGGGGTGCATCATCACATATAACAGAGCACCCATTTTCTCTGGTTAAAAAAAAACTAAAAGCTTTACTAATATTGTAGGGTTGCTTACAGACATTAAAAAAACCAAAAAACAGCACTTTGCTTTAAACTTGGTACACTTCTGTGCCAAGCCCAGCACATGCCTAGAAGTGCAACACGTTAGTTGGACCCAGCTTGCCCAACATCTTGGGTGCTTTAGTGGGGCTTTTTTGGTGCTTTTATCTAATAGCTGATTGAAGCCCCATAGAAACACCCAGTCTATACAGATGCAGCAGAGCTGGGTTGAAGTAACGCACTACCGCACACAGCCTAGAGGTTAGGGCTATATTATGTAGCTTAAGTGAAAAGAAAAAACCTTCATTGGAATGTGAATTTGCAATCTCATATATTATTATGAAAGTACAACAAACAAGGCAAAATAATCAAAAGGTTTTTTTTCATTAGTTCTGTAGTCATTGGAATTAAACGTACTTCTATCTTTCAGATTCATAAGATAAAATTAAGCCTTCTTGAGCATTTTGACAGTACATCCAAGGCTTCACTGAACATTATTTTTGTTAATGTTCACCTGATTTAAGTTTTCCATACCTGAGTTAATGTTTCTACCTAGAGTTAAAAACAGTCTGCAGGGCTGTGAAATAGGGGCTACATTTCCAGGAGCAGCTGGCAGCAGAATAGCAGAAGATGGTATAGCTTGATTAATAGAACCATTCAAAACCATTAAAAATGGTCATTAACTTCTGTGGAATGAAGAGTTTAGAAGAAATCAGATAGATTATAATGAGCCATGAAGTAAATTGTTTCCCTCAGTGCTGCCTGAATAGAAATGCTGCATTTGGGTGGACCAGGAATGAAAGGTGGTGCAACTGCACCGCTCTGCTCCCTTTTGATGGGAATGTAATGCCTCTCTTTCATCTTTTTGCCTTTCCAGCCTGCCAGAAGAACCGGTATGGGGCTGGATGCAAGCAGACGTGCACCTGCCAGGGCAGAGGGATCTGTCATGCAGCTGATGGCTCCTGCCTGTGTGGCCTGGGGCGAACCGGGATGTTTTGTGAACTTGGTAAATGCACTGGAGGTGCTTTCTCAGGCCCTGCTGAATGCCCATCTGGCAGTGGTCAAACCCATCAAGTTTGCACGTGCAGCCAGTGGCTTCTTGTGTGCATCCATGTATAAACTGTGTACTCCATCATGCACTGCGTCATGGCATCCCACAGTGTGTGTAAGGGGGGGGTAGGGCAGCCAGGGGTCACCTGGCCTGCCAGATGGGTGGGTATAAGAATCTCATTGATTCCAAAGGTCAGAAGGTTTGCCTTGAGCCTAGTGCTCATTGAGCGAGTAGGGTGAAAGCCAGCTGGGATCTGTAGCCAGCAGCACATAAAAGAGTGATATGGCAGAATCGCATCCTGACTCAGTGTGACTAGCCACCCATTACAACTGGGACAGCCTTTGGCATGTAAGCTCAGCAAAGCTCAGGCTCCCACCTCTGGAGCTGAAGCTATCTCCCTCTGCCACACTGTCTGATCTGGCAATGACGCCTCTCTAAAATGTGTCCCCTCCAGAATGCGCACCAGGGACGTATGGTGCCAACTGCCAGCTGCACTGTGCCTGCCAGAATAACGGGACTTGCGACTCAGTGACAGGCGCCTGCCACTGCACCAGAGGATACTACGGGCACCTGTGTGAACACAGTGAGTCCACCAGAGCAGCAGGAACTGCTGCTTTGGCCATTGGGGGTGTTTTCTAATGACAGGTCTCAGGACCAGACAGATGGGGAAGGTCTGCTTCATATCATGACTGCCAAGCCCACAATGCCGAGGAGTTACAGGCACCTAGGTTTTTCTGTTAGTGTCCATGGGGTTCATGAAGCAGTTGCTTTGCCTTAGGTGGAAGCCAAAGCCCTAAAGCATCAGCTCATCGCAAAGACTCTCTGCAGTCACCTGGAGAGTTTCATATGGGAGAAGACAGGAAGGGGGGCAGTTCTCCAAAACAGCCTGATGATCTATTTGAACCTGACATCTGCCAACCTAGTCCAGGTAAAATAAAGCTGCACGTTTGTTTTGGGAAGCCTTGGATTCCACAGGCTGCCCCTCCATCCGGCTCTCTGTCCACTCTGTCTACACTGCGTCCTGGTGAACTGATAACCTGACCACCTCAGCAACTCATTAAACAAAGCACCTGAAGAAAGCAGCAACATGGTCACTTTTGTGACATTAGGAAAGTTTTATTTCTTTAGTATTCTCAAGTTAGACCTTTTACACGTGGGGTGTGGACGCACATGACAGTCAAACCATTTCCACAGTCAATAATTGGGAAAGGAAAGGAGTGTTTTGGGTGATAGGTTAGTGGACCAATTAACCAGTGGACGTGGTTAGTGGACCAGTCTGGGATAGATATAGACAAGATAGATAGATACATTTCAGATACCAGAGTACTGTGCCTCAGGTCTATCCCAACCACACCGTTAGTCCCAAAAAAGATGACCCACAAAAATCCTTCCTTCTCATAAATTTCCTGGACAGCTACATCACTGCAACACTGCCAAACCATGGAGTGACTGGGAACTGGCCCATAATTGTCATGGGTCAGAAGCATGTGCCTGCATACTGTCAAGGGTTTCAAGTAGATCAATCACATTTTAGGCATGGAAGTGTGATCAATCTGCTGCCAGGAGTTGGGAGCGAGTAGCCAGTCTAGCATGCTTGCAGAGTTTTCCCAGCATTCCCCAAGGAAGCTCTTAGCTGGCTGGAGACCAAGAAAGAGGAAGACAATGACATCAATTGTCAGCAAGTGCAAGTTTCTCACTTCCACAGAGTCCAATAAAGAGCAAATAAAGATTTTTACCAAACTGTGTGGGAGCACCCTGACTAGGGGTGCCCACGTGTTGCTGGGGAGCAGGGAAACGGGACAGTCTGACCCCTGCATCCCAGGTTCCCACTCGGCTAGAACTAAACTAACACGGCCTCTTGTCAGCTCAGATCAAGCATAGTCTATGCTTACCTGGCAAGAGAAACACCGTGACCACTGAGGCGGTCTTCCTAGTCACACCAGGGAAAACTGCTTAACTGGCACAGGGACAGGACCTGCCAAGGTAATGTAGCTTCTGGAGCGGGAAGGTCTTGGCTTTAAGTCCACTTTGCAGAAATGGGAGACTCCTCCCTGGCTTGCCTCTGGGGCCTTACGGCTGAGGGCAAGCAAAACTCAGGGGGCATCCAAACCCCAAGCCTCCGGGCTAGGGCCTGCAAGTAGGATATTTCCAAAGGTTTTGGAAACATCTAAAGCCCCAGCTGGGGGTAGAGTATGTCTGCCGGTAGTAGGGCCACTTATGGTTCTGGACTGATTCGTGGATTTGGAATTTGTTTTGGCTAATATGGCTTGGAGTACAGAAAATTTAAATTAAAAAAAACAAACAAACACTGGGTCTTTATAGGCACTTTCCCTACAAAAGTACTCAGCTACTTGTGATGTGCTCAGTTACTATGGATGGAAAGGAAATGGCAACCTCTTTAAGAGACTTGGAGACTTTGGGGAGCTCAGGCATGCAGAAGCAGGGGTCCAGGCAGACCTGTGCCTTCTCCTCAATTGTTCCTGCCACCTGGCCCACCCCCTAGCCAACCTCCAACTCTGCCCATGTCGCTGCAGCTTTTAAAGAACACTCATCAGCTGCCCTTCATTTGTGCCAACTGGCCAGGGTTCAGGGCAGCCCAGACAAACACTGCACCACCTCTGAACTCCCAACCTCTGCAGGGGGTGCAGGGGTTCAGACAGCACTGTTTTCACCCCCTGCATATCACCTGTCCGAGCTGACCACCTCTCCATCCCCATGCCAAAAGAGCATGGGTACATAGGTAAATGCAAGCAAGGTCTGACAGGCATGCATGCATGTGCACACATTCCACCCTGGTGTCCACACCCTTGAGAAATATACACAGTGTCTGCTAGTAAAATACACGCACAGTGCACCCTAGATCCAACCCCTCACATACACAGTGTTTGTGTGCCTGACCTGCTGGCCAGTGTCTGCCTCGACAGCACCCCAACACTCCTCCCACTTTTGTGGTCATAATTTCCCCTACCCATGCATACAGCTGTGTCAGTCACACCGTAGGCCATACCCCCCCCCCCCCCCCCCCCCCCCCAC